TTTGATTCCTATGGGACGTAGCAAAAGTCTCATGAAAGGACCAAACCAGAAACAGAATGAGACGTAGCAAAAGTTCATGTGAGTATTATAATCGAAACAGTAGGAACTTCCCTTGCACACAGCCTTCGAGATCTCCTTGGGGTCAGATACCTAAGAAATGCAACAAAAGTCTCTTGGAAGTTCCATAAGATATTATATGATATGATGTATGTCTATTATGTTCAGATCTTATGTATGCACAGTAAGTGAACTACAGGGTGGAATGATCTTCCAATGACCCTTAGTTTACTGATATTTTTATCTCACCCCGTGTTTGGAGAAAAATTTCAAGTACCTCCACAGATGGAGAGGGAGTTTCACTTGGCAAGAGGCCAACTTAGATCCTGACATATAGCATGTGGATTACTGTTTATGTTTTGTTGTGTAGATATGACATATAAACATATTATTTTGAGTATTCAGATGATGATGTATATTTTGAGGACTAGATAATGACTTTATGTATTTTGCATAATTCCAATGGTGTATATTTGTTTAGAGAACAATGTATTTGAATTATGTAATCTTATGTTTTAGATGACATTTATGTCCAATAAATTGGACATTTATGTTGAAATGTAAATTATGTAGATGTGATGTTCACAAGGATGAATATTACGGTATGAAAAGATGTAAGCATGAGAATGCTTATGTTTAACTTGAGGTACAAGTCATGAAATTGAAGAATGTAAGCCACGAGGCATATTGCATGAAATGGAAAAATGAATGAAAAGAATAAGTTAAAGAGTTAGCTCGAGATGTATGAAATGTTAGAAGAATATAATATCTCAAGGAAATTAAGTGGACCTATGTATGTTGAACATAAGGTTACTAATCTGGTCTATTAGGTACCAAATTATGCCAAGAAAATCCTGAGTTGGTAACATGATACCAAGGGAACCATGTAAGGTGCAGAGTTTCTTGTTGACTTGCTCGCTGCTCGCTACAGCGAGCAAATACGAGAGACAGGCAGTAACCAATGAGTTGCTCGTTAACCAGCTTGCTAAAACGAGCAGGCTAGCGAGGAGAATCAGGCTACGGCAGTAGCTACTGCCCAGAATTTAAATTGCTTGCTACTCGCGAGCAAATATGATCTACTCGCTAACTTGTGCACGATAGTGTGTAGTTTAGCGAGGACGCACGGTTGACAGCCCCTGTTTACTGTCAAGAAATAAATTGCTCACTGACTATAGCTCGCTCAAGAGAGGAATCCAGCGAGCACAGGAAAATGAAGAAAAGCATGATGTTTAATGTTATAAGAAAAGGGAATTAACTATTCCATAATTGAGTAATGTATAAAGCTTCCGAATTATGTATGTGTTACAACCACTGTAATTGACTTTATTGAGTACGGAGTTAATTGTTAGCAGAAAATAAAAGAAAAAATTTACCCGTAATTCTTTTTCAATTATTCTAATTGTACCTGCACTTATATCATATGCAATGCTAACAAACCAGTCTGGAACAAGGTGTTACAGGAGGGGTGTGAGGGTGGGCATATATCATTATTTTAGAATCTATTAGTTTTAACCGTAAGATTTAAGCACATGCATAATGAGTAGTATTAGTTGTTAAGTAACTCAGGTGATAAGTCCTGATTAGCTCTAATTTAGGAGATGATTCCTATTGTAATTAATAATATACATAGTATAAATATTTACCTATGAGGACTGGTTACAAACACAGTTTTACCCTCTTCTAATTCTATATGGTATAAGTGGTTTAACGATCCTTCACACCATTGTGACTGACTAGTGGTCTCAGTAAACTAATCTCGTGCAAACTGCCGCACCTCCACCAGCTGCAATTTTTCTAACCACACCATCCACCACTGTCAACCCAGACCGGCATCAGAAACCACCAACTGTCCCAACCTTTCCTGGTAACCATATTTTTCTGGTAACCAGACCAGCCATCTCTATCCTTTTCTGAACTCACCTCCCTATTCCTGGCCCAATTCGACCACAAAACCCATCTCATTCTATGTTATATTTATTTTTTATGACTTAAACCCAGAGGGAATTATGCTAAGAATTCCATGGCCAAGTTTCATAATGCAAGCTTGATTAAGTTTGCTCATATTCTGAAGCCTTGGACCACCATCCTATTTCCTTTTTGTAGACATTGTCCTAAGCCATAGCATGAAGCTTTCTTTTGTCATTAGTTGAACGTCATACAAAGTTACGAATTTTCCTCTCCACATCTTAACAAGTTTTTTTTGGGTGGATGCAAGTTTTCATTGATTAGGAAGGAATGCTCAATAAAACAGATTGAGCTAGGGTAGTACGACTAGCTAAGGATAAAGTTGATCTCTTCCACCGGCTAAGCTTATTATTTACTCTCTGCAGAATATGAGAAAAGTTGGCTAATCTCACTCTTTCATGGATTAGAGGAATGCCAAGATTTGAGGTTATAGAAAAATCCTGGACTGTTTCTATAGCACTAGAAATATGGACAATGTTGGAGAAGAATACTTTAGTTTTATCCTTTCTTATCTTTTCACCCAAGGCACTACAGAAGCAACAATTTTTTAAATAATTATATCTTGATCAAGGGACACCTCAACAAACAAGAACACATTGTTCGCAAAGAAGGAGTGGGAGATGGGCGGACCACCTTCCTCGAAAAAACTGGTTTCCGCATTTTACAGTTAGCTGCCTCATTGATTAGATGCCCCAGACTTTCAATGCAAGACAAGAATGTAAGATGACCGGGGATTACCTTGTCTAATTTCCCTAGACGATTTGAATTCCCTGGTAGTATAGCCATTCCACAACACATTCATTGTGCTAGTGGTCACGCAATCCATAATGAGACGAGTAAGTCTTGCAGGTAAGGAAACTTGGAGAATGCACTTCCCAGTAGGGAGAAGCTTTGGTTCTGGTCCAAGGCGCTATTAGCATCCTCCAGCGAGTTGTTAGAACAATATACCAAAAACTATGAAAGCTTTTTTTTGTCATGGGACCTCTTGGAGACCTCCTAAGGCTCCTCTTACCACATAATTGATCAATCCACAAGTCATAAACATAATCTATCCACTGACATTCCATGTTATATCCATCAATGGATCAACAAGTTTAGGCATCAAGCTAGCCTACACAAATACATAAGTCCTCATACTTCATGGGATCACCTAAATCATACACATAGTATTTAGAATACTTAAGTTACAAAATAATAGTCATGAACTTGAAATCAAGGCCATATCCAACATTTGCATGGCAATAACAAGGATGACAAGTTATCTCCCAAAAATGGTTTTATAAATGCATATGCCCCAAAATAATACACAAGCATGGAAACCCAAAACAATCATATCAATATCATCATGCTATACAAATGTCTTCAAATGAGATAAGCATACTCCTTTCCTCAAAATGAGCGTCCAGATGGAACTTCCAAGAGCTAAACCTCTTTTCTTTAGTCTAATGAACCTCAATCAAAGAGTTCATGATTACAAGGCTATAAGGTCTAAGAGTTTACCTCTTGAAGAAAAGTCCTCTTCTTCCTCCTCTTGTTTTTGCCTTTATAACCAGTCTCCTTCGTTGCTGTCCAATACACCCCTGTCGCCATTCAAACAGGGGAGTATATCCTTATCGGACACCACTCTTCTCGCTTGGACATTAGACATGTTAACTTCATTGCACCCTTAACAACGAGGTTCCAAGCAAGGAGCCTCCTCAAGATTTTGTAGCTTTTCAATCATTTCATCATCCATATTTGAATCCTCCTCCATAGCTCCTTTTGGTTTCTTATACTACATTGTAATAAGTCCCCTTCCGCAGTTGCTGGAGCCCCTCGAGTTACTGCAATCATATCTCACGTGTGTGATATACCTTCCTCTCTTATCTAATCATTAAAGGAAAGAGAAATATTGTCCTCTTCCTCCTCCAACCCTTTAGTTATGTCATATAATATTGTCTCGGAGCAACTATTGTGTAACTACAATACTCAAGATTTTTTTCCCAATCCCTTCATCTATGGATGGGGGGACATAAGAAAAAAGTTTTTATTGCAATTACCACCATGAGAAAACGTTTTGCGTTTTAAAAACTTATGCATTTATATCAAGAGATTTGGCCACTATTGATGACCAGTGCATAGGCCAACCATCAGTATAAAACACTGAATGTTGCTCAAGTAGCCCCACCTGACTCGTTTAACAAGGTTCCCCATCTGCTGTTGAGTATAATAAGTATCTCCGACTAAAAGCAGAGCCATGCAATGCAGTCCAGTAAACTTGTCGATTCTATAGCTCAAACCAATAATCTTCCTACAAGTGTTTCCCAGATTTCTCTTGGACCTTGGATTTCTGACTGAAGCATTTCTGATCATATGTATGTTCACATATACCTTTTCAACCACCTTATTTATAAACGTACACTACCTAGTGTCACTTTAGCCAATTATTCATAAAACCAAAGTCCAAGGAATTGGCCAAGTTAATCCCCTTCCTACACTTTCTTTAAATTGTGTAATTTTTGCACATGGTTGTCCTAATTTGATCTACAAGACCAAACTCACTCATACCCTGCCTTACGTTGTTATATTTGCTAATGGTAAGCGAGAAAGTATTACCAAAGACTGCATGAGAATCTATTTGCTACTATTACCAAAGGGCAAAGCACATGATAAACATAGGAGTACAACATCAACTGAAGTATCATTCTTACAATTTTTACATGAAATCGCACATATAAGAAGTTTCCTTCATTGATACATGAATCAAGAGAAATGGGAACTGATAGAACAGATTTGGTGTTAAAATAACGAGACCATTACAAGCTGACACATCTATGCCCATTTTTTGCTTGATACACAACCGGATGCTCAAATTGCAAGGTCATTAACACTTTCAAACCACAGGCCAAGAAACTAATGGTAAGAAATAGAATGCATCTCCATGAATCAAATAAATAAAACATGAAACTCAGGACAAAAAATAATTGTTACCTACACACCTTAAGATCAGCAGCTGATATGGTCTCATCACCAAGGAAAGCTTCAGCAAGTTTATCGTCAACCTCTGACACACTTTCTATGAGTTCACGTCTTTTTTCTGCCACCAAGGCTTCCATATCTGCAGGCACTTCTTCAGCGACAACTTTTTCACTGCAATAAGAAACAATTGACTAAGTTAAAGAATAATGCCAAAGAAGAATAAACTCAGAAATAAACAATGCAGAAGTTTTTGAACCATACCCATTTGAACCATGAAAGTAGTAGGCCTTTAATTGCACAAGATCAACAAGTCCCTTAAAATCATCTTCCAAGCCTATAGGAACTTGCATTGCAGCACTGTGATGCCGAAGCTTAGATCTTGCCTGAAAATAAAACATGCTCGAAAAATGAAAACTATTTTAATTCTAAAATTATGCTGCAAAATAATTTAAAAAATGCAAAAGGTTAATGATAAATAGACAGTTTGTCAAATAGAAGCCACCATAGCTCCATGGCACTATGGCATAGCAGATTTATAGCAAAATGCCATTATATTTCAATGGCACTGCGGGTTTGGCATTGTGGCCTATGGCATTGTCCCTTATGTTTGTGATACTTTTGGTGGATTTTATTTCCTACAATATGTTTCTAGCTTATTGTTCAGAATACATGTTACTAGATTTCTTATTTATTTTTCATTTGAGAGTGTGTTATAGCCACCATGCTGTTAGGAGAACCCCAACCACCCAAGTGTATATGTTAGAAGAAATAATAAAAAAAATATGTGACAGTCGTAACTGCTTTATGAGAGTTATAATCATATGTGATTGTTGTAACTGCTTTATGACAGTTATAATCATGGTAACTGAATGGTAGTATAATTAGCAAATATAAATAAATAGGCGAGATGGACAGGTTAGGGGAAGTTAAGATTTGGAAGTTATTAGTAAGAGAAAGAGGCCAGAGAAGATATTTCTCTGGAGTTTCAACAATTATCTTGTATTATCTTCTGTAATATGTCCCACTCTTCTGTAATTAAGGATTTCTTACTGTCCAGAATAATTATTCACTGATATTCAGTGTTATTCAGCAATTTAATTGTTAATTTTAGGCCAGTTTCTTCCAACTGGTATCAGAGCTCCTTCCAGGGAGTTCTTTCATGGTTTTAACAAGAATGAAAACACGATTAGATGCACTAGAAAGGAGATACAAACGGGCTCTAAAAATCATAGAGGAGGGTTTCCAGCGCGCAGAGCAAAGAGCAGAAAGCCAAGATTCAAGGTTCCAAAGGCTGGAGGAAATGTTGGAAAATTAGTCACACAGATCCAGAGATGAAGAACAACATGCAACTCTTCAAAGGATAGCCATTCGGAGGGTGGGAATACCAGAACTGCAGGAAAGGAGGACAGGTGGAGAATCTTATCAATTGTGGAGCTTCACATAATTTCATATCATCAACATTAGTACAGAATCTTAAAATGCCTATTAAAGAGACACATCCTTATCAAGTAGAGATAGGAGATAGGAGGAGGATTCCTTGCAAGGGAATATTTACCGAGGTGGTCTTGTGGCTCCAAGTATTGGAGTTGAGAGAGTACAAGAGAAAGAAGAGAGAGAGTGTGAGAGCCATTGAACTCTTGTATATTAATCACACTAGAAATGATACACAATGTCTCTATTTATAGAGCACAGCAGATATTCCGAACTCATGAAGGGCATTATGAATTTATAGTCATGTCATTTGGATTGACTAATGCTCCTTCTATCTTTCAATCCCTAATGAATGAAATGTTGCGGCCGTACTTAAGAAAATTTGTCCTAGTTTTCGTTGATGACATTCTTATTTACAGCCCCACGGAGGAGGCTCATTTGAAGCATTTGTGTTTGGTATTACAGCTGTTAAGGAGGAATCACCTATGTGCCAACAAGAAAAGGTGTTGTTTTGGGCAACAAAAGCTAGAATACTTGGTTCACATCATTTCAGCCGAAGGGGTAGAGGCTGACCCAAAGAAAGTTGATGCTATGTGGACCTGGCCTATTCCAAAAGATTTAAAAGGATTACGGGGCTTTCTTGGTTTGACTGACTATTATAGGAGATTTGTCAAAAGTTATGGCAAAGTTGCTAAACCATTAACACAACTATTAAAGAAGGACAATTTTCAAGCAGCCTTTGATGAATTGAGAACAGCTATGACTAATCTGCCCACACTTACAGTTCCTGACTTTTCTAAGAATTTTGTACTAGAAACAGATGCTTCTAGCAAGGGATTAGGGGCTGTTTAATTACAAGAGGGTAGACCTGTTGCGTTCCTAAGTCAAGGGTTGTCTGAAAAAGCTCAATACAAATATGTTTAAGAGAGAACTTATGGCAATAGTGATGGCTGTCCAAAAATGGAGGCACTACTTGATGGGAAGACACTTTATAATTCATACTAATCAACGCAGCCTTAAATTCCTAAATGACCATAGATTCATGAGTGAAGAAAAATTCAAATGGGCTACCAAACTACTAGGTTTTGATTTTGAATAAGCTGCTGATGCATTATCTAGAAGGATGTTTTTCTCAGCTATTTCTAAAATCCAATTTCAAGATGTCGAGGAGTGGCTGGCTGAAGCTCGTGCTGATCCTAAAATTCGCACCTTGATGCAAGACCTCTTGTTGGATCCTAGATCTCACCCGGGATATCAATTATAAGGTGAAAGGCTACTTTATAAAGGTAGATTGGTTTTACCTAAAACATCCACTAAAATCCCAATGATTCTTACAGAATTCTATAGTTTAGCAATTGGAGGGCATTCTGGATTTTTTAAAACTTATAAAAGAATTGATGTTTTACTATTTTGGGAAGGCATGAAACGGGATGTCCAACATTTTGTAGCATCTTGTGACACTTGTCAGCATAATAAAGCCCAGAATTTATCTCCAGCATGTTTACACCAACCCCTACCTATACCCACACAAATTTGGGCTGAAATATCAATGGATTTTATTGAAGGACTGCCAAAATCCCAAGGGAAGGATACAATCTTTGTGGTGGTTGATAGATTAACAAAATATGCACATTTCTTACCTCTCACTCATCCTTTTACACCGAAGGAAGTTGCAGATGTTTTTATCCGGGAGATTGTACACCTACATGGGTTTCCCACTTCTATTGTTTTAGATAGAGACAAGATATTCCTCAGCCATTCTTGGTCAGAGCTATTCCGTAATGCAGGGACCAAATTAAAATATAGTTCTGCTTGGATGGTCAAACAAAGGTTGTGAATAAATGTTTCGAAATCTACCTTCGTTGCCTCACAGGTACTAAGCCTAAGCAATGGATGAAGTGGCTGAGTTGGGCAGAATTTTGGTACAATACTAATTACCATTGTTCCACTAAATTCACTCCTTTCAAGGCTTTATATGGGTATGATCCCCCTGTATTGCTCAAGCATTCTGCAATCCCTTCAACCGTGGAAGCTGTAAACATCATGGTTGTTGATCGGGAAACCATCTTAGATGATTTGAGGTCTAATTTGTTACAAGCTCAAGAAAGAATGCGTCTTTACACATACAAGCATAGAAGGCATGTTGAATTTCAAGTAGGAGATTGGGTTTACCTCAAAATCCAGCCTTACATACTTCGTTCCCTAGCTAAAAAGATGAACGAGAAGCTGAGTCCACGATTTTATGTTCCTTATCAAATTGCAGAAAGGATTGGCGCTGTAGCCTATCGCCTTGAGCTCCCTGTCCATAGCAAAGTATATCCGGTTTTTCATGTTTCTCTTCTCATGAAAGCCCTATCACGTCAAATCCAGTCACAACCTCTACCTTTGGTGTTATCTGAAGATTAGGAGCTACAACTTCATCTTGCTCATGTCATGGATCAGCGGCTAACTACTTCAGGCGAGTTGGAAGTCCTCATCCGTTGGCAAGACCTGCCATCGTTTGAAGATTTGTGGGAACCTTTCGCCACTATACAGCAGCAATTTCCTAACTTTCACCTAGAGGACAAGGTGAAAAGCTTGGGGGGAGTATTGTTAGGAGAACCCCAACCACCCAAGTGTATGTTAGAAGAAATAAAAAAAATATGTGACAGTTGTAACTGCTTTATGACAGTTATAATCATATGTGACTGTTGTAACTGCTTTGTGACAGTTATAATCATGGTAACTGAATGGTAGTATAATTAGGAAAAATAAATAAATAGGGGAGGATGGACAGGTTAGGGGAAGTTAAGATTTGGAAGTTATTAGTAAGAGAAAGAGGCCAAAGAAGATATTTCTCTGGAGTTTCAACAGTTATCTTGTATTATCTTCTGTAATATGTCCAACTCTTCAGTAATTAAGGATTTCTTACTGTCCAGAATAATTATTCAATGATATTCAGTGTTATTCAGCAATTTAATTGTTAATTTTAGGCCAGTTTCTTCCATATGCTTCCACCATAGGCCACAATGCCATCTGCCATATTTGTATAACAGATTTTTGGTTCCATTAATAAAATTGTAAATAAATACAACAGGCTAAAAAATTGTCGTTTATACATTGTAAATGCAATATATTAATTTCATTTAGGCTCTAAGCATATAAAAATTGAGACACATGGAAGATTTTTAATCAAAACCAGTTTATTTCAAAGAAGCAGTTTTGAAAGAGTTTCAAATTAAAATCTTTTACAAATAATCACTTTATTAATTTCTTAAATGCCACCGGGCCAGGAATAGGGGTATCATATTTCCAAAATTCTCTTTTTAAACTAATAACCAAAACTGTGTAAATGACAATAAAACTATCAAACCTATTATCTATGATGACTTCCATAAATCTCAAATGCACCTGATTTAAAACTTTCCACGGATCAGCTCCCATCCGATCAAGCTTGTTGATAAATGCAAGCCTTGGAACCTCATATCTTCTCATTTGCCGATCAACAGTAATGGACTGACTTTGCACCCCACCAACACTACAAAGTACAAGAATGGCACCATCAAGGACACGCAAAGCCCTCTCAACCTCAATGGTGAAATCAACATGACCAGGTGTGTCAATTATGTTAATCTGCAACAACACATTTTCCAAGAGTTTAAATATGATTATGAATAAAGATAAGAAAAAGAAAGGGAAAAAATAAAAGCATCATCTGAAAAGGCTTGAATAACATAACAGTTTACCTTCCAGTCAATACTGCAAGCAGCAAAAATAAGTAGTCTTTATCTAATTTTTCAACACTTCAGATTGACTTAAAGAGAAAATCCGCTTTGGTTTAGCACAATTCTTTGTTTTTCCCCATCCATTTCAGTTATGCATGATTAGAAACAGAAGAACTCTTCAACGTTTAATCCTTTCCCTTTGATAATTATTATTAATAATAATTAAAATTGATAATGATAATAGCAACAACAGCACTCAAACCTCAAACTCCTCAAACAGGGAGGGATCCACCTTTATTTTTCTTGATTCCTATTACCTTAAGAACTCACTACCTGTTTATAATTCAATTAAATCTGAACTCAATTAAAATCCGACACTCATTCAACTTTCCAAATTTTATTTTTCTTGATTATTATCATCATACTTTCAAAACTCACTCGCTTCACTTCCCTTCAATTAAATTCAAATAAATTCAACTTGAAGCCAACAAATTGTAGAAGTTACAGTATACCTTATAGTCTTTCCAAGTGCAATAAGTGGCAGCTGACTGAATGGTAATCCCCTTCTCCCTCTCCAAATCCATAGAGTCCATCTTGGCGCCAACACCATCCCTGCCCCTCACCTCGTGGATCTCGTGGATCCGACCCGTGTAATACAGAACCCGCTCCGTCAGTGTCGTCTTCCCGGAGTCGATGTGTGCCGAGATCCCGATGTTGCGCAGCCGCTCCATCGACTCCTTCCACCACGGCTCCTTATCCGCTGCCGCATTCGCGCGCGCCAGGTTCCCGGCTGAGAAGTGTCTGAGATGGAAAGCACCGGCGAGAAGGGATGCCGCCGTCGACGTCGACGGCGACGCCGGGGAAGAGGAGCAGAGCGCATAGAGGAGGCGCGGGGCGGAGGACCTGGATAAGCGTGCCATGGTGGTGGAGGGTTTTTCCCTGTGGCTGTTTCTGCGGAATAGACGGAAGGAATGGTGCTAAAACCCTAATGGAAATGGAATGGGTCGGGTTCCAGTGCGTATTTTCAATAAAAGATTCTTTTGAATTACAATTCACACGGTCATATATACCTATGCGTACGAATAATTTCAAATTACAAGTTTTTATTGGTATAAAGAGTAAAAAGTTTTTTCGAGTTGGCTCGTAATTTGTCAAAAATGAATTCGTTGGATAAAAATGTGTTGTTAACCCTATTCGAGCCAGTTCAAAAAAAATAAATCAACTTGTGGAAATATAATATAAAAAAGGATAAAACCTATGCACGTTGTCATCGTTTTTTTCCTTCTCTAAACCTAAGTCCCTAATCTTCTTACATCGCTACCATTTTTGTTCGGTCTCTCACTCAAAAATTGAGAAGCAGCCGCCAGCCACCACCGCCCGCGCTCCATCAGCCCCTAGCTTCATCGCCTTAGCTGCTCAGTCTTGGCCTTAGTTCCTGCATTGAAAGTGTAACACCCCAAATTCTAACAATTGATAATAGCATAAATAAATTCAATAATTATTGTAAATAACAGCGGAAGTTCAAAATAATCGAATTTGGGAAGTGTTACCGCCGCACCTGTACAGGGACAAGTGCAAGGCTAACTCTATACATTCAAATCAAAATCTAAGACTACAATTTTTTTTTTATACATAATATTTATGACAGCTAGAAATCCTGAGTCGTATCCTCACTGCCCACTGCTAGCCCGATTCCTTGCCACCTGATTTATTGAAAATCTGCTCCCCCGCAGCCGCAGGATCATTGCAGTCAAACAATCACAAACAGTCAGCAAAGCTGGTAATCCCAATCAAAATACAAAAATAAATAAATAAATAAATAGAACTCATAATAATTAAATCAAGTAATATAACTCAAAAATTCAAATCAAGTATCAACTCGTTATTAATTATATTAATCTTTATTTAGTCCATTTATTGTATTTAGTAAGGGTAATTTATCAACTAACATATTCAGCACAACATTAATCATAATATTACATAAATGGTAATATTCACAACTCAATGACATTCATCATAATCAAATCAAATAACATTTCATTATTAATCATGTTTAAGTTCATTGTACTTAGTGGGAAGAGAACCATGGTAGACCCGGGAAACCCTGCCAGTCTACCCCGTGACCCGGGAAAAAACCACTGTTACCAGCCACGTATAATCAAAATTGGCCATAATCAATTCACATCTTCCTAGTGTGCACACCTCTTCCCAAAGTTGCTACTAGTACCCCGGGAAAAAACCACTGTTACCAGATACCACTTTGGGAAGAACGGATATAATCTTTTTCACATCAGTTTCACATCGGAGGCATAAAGCCCAAAAGTTGTGTTCATCACCTTGGGAGGTACCATCCCAAAGCTATCCTCCCACTATTAATTTATTCAATCACATACAATCAATTCAATCTTGTCACGATTCTCATAATTGTCAAATAGTTTTCATGATTTCCACATCAATTTAATGAAGATTGTAATTTCCAAAATGAATCTTTCAATAATATCATAATTTCCAAATCCATTATCCAAGAATATCATAATTTTCATATTCAACATCTACCAGGGTAAAATTCAAGTCCAATCATCATATCATAATTTTTCAAATCAAAATTCAAATATTCACATCTATTAGGATAAAGCCAAAATCCAATAATTAATCCAATTAATTTATAGAGGTTAAAATAATTTAATTTAAATACCCTAAGGGTACATATAATAAATGAAAACATTCTAAAATTTCCTAAGGATTAAGATTACATATACATCAAACATATAACTATCTGAAAGATTATGACACACCCAATAAAATTTCATACACAACAAATCTACAACCACCTAGAGATTAGGATTACCTGGTCTCCGTTTTCGCTAACTTCTAGAAGAAAAGAGTAATTTGGGGCAGAGAACCGGTTGGTAACCAGAAGAGTATAAAATAAATTAAACTAAGTTTTGAACTAAGAAGAGAGAATAGTAGAGGAGAAATGTTGAAGAGTGAATTGGTTTGGTTAGGCTAGACCTCTATTCATAGTTGAAGTTTAGGGCGTACACATTACTGACTCAATGCTGACTCATCATATCTAAACAATTTATGTTTGTTGACTCATCATATCTAAACAATTTATGTTTTTTGACTCATCATATCTAAACAAATTACTAATCAAACATAAATACATAAATCATCAATCAATTAATAAATCAATTAATCATAATTTATCATCTAATATATATATATATAATTATATATTATCACATAAATAAAACAATATTACTATTATTATCTTACCTCTTATTATTTTAACTATTATTAACTCATTAATTAAAAATATTAAATACCAATATTATTAATTACAAAAATACTAAATATCATTATTATCCAAAAATATTTATTATTATTATATTATTATTATTATTATTTTATTAAAAGAAAATATGGGGTATTACAGAAAGCTTCTTGTATTCTCAATTTTTTGCTTCTCATTCTGTAGCCCTTTTCTATTTTTCTTTTTTTATAAACTATTATGTAAGACAATTGCATTGTTTAAGCTTATGGAAGCCACATAATTGCTGCATTAATATTATAGGTTCATTTAAATAGGCTGAAAACGAGCCAACCCACGAGTCATTTTTTCAAGCCAACCCACAAGCCATATTTTCGAGCCAACCCTAACCGACTCGGGTTGAGTTTTCTGGCTCGTTTTTTTCGAGCCAACCCTAACCTGGCTCATTTTTTTCAGGTTGCACGCGAGTTACGCCGGGTTGACCTGTTTTGCCAACCCTATATCTATTATGCGAATTTTTGATACTTTCAGCTTAACTATATTTTATTGCTTTAATTGACATGGTACATAAAAGTATAAAATAGGATAAATCTCTTACTCATTAAGTACTTGAAATTTTCTCCATGAACACTAGTTATATATGGCATATCTATCACAAATTTATGATTTGATTAAAAAATTATGAAGTGTGTTGAAAAAAATAATACTAAGAGTTAATTTAGTATGTACAAAAAAATTGGAGGCGAAAAACCTTAAGAATTAATTTTTTAATAAAATTTGTTTGATGAACTTTTTATCCTTAATAAGAAATACCAAACCATCCATAATTATGAAGTAAAATTGCACCTTAAGAATGGCTTTTCCCCGCTTGTAAATACGAGTGTCCAAACAGGTTATGACACGCGGGTTGACCCGCAAAACAACATGTAATTTGTGTTTGGGTTGACTCGAAAAAAATTCGCGTCGTATGTTGTGTCGTGTCAACACTATAACACCTCGTATTTCGTAAACGTATATTTATGTATGAAAATATGGATTTAAGGGTAGGATTAGTGAAAATCATGAGATTAGGATTAAATTGCATAAGAAGGGTAAAATGATAATTTACCAAACACGTAACCCGAGATAAGAAAATTTGAGTAGAAGGTCTCAAATGATAAAAATAATGTTGGAAATGGATTCAGAACGAAAATCGAGTGGATAGGCAAGTTGCGAAAATTTTGGTGAATAATGATTTTTCCGGTATAAAATATTGCGGTATAATAGTACTGATAAGCGTGAAAATATGATCAGTATTTTTGAGAAGTAAAAATATGACGTGAACGAGAAAAATACGTAGGTTATGAATATGTGAGTAA